GAGAGGAGAATGGAGGAGAAGGGATTGCGGCGTGGCCATCCCCCTTGGGGGGTGATTTCTCGCTTTCTGTCTCTCTGTCTCTGTCTGGCTGGCGAGCGCATGTGCCCTATAGCAAAAACCTCTTAAAAAAAAAAGAAAATGAGGTATAACTTGTCGGTTTTGCCATTGTCTGGATAGGAGACACAGGCAAGTTATCTTGCCTCAATATGTGCATCTATGAAATGGAAATAATTAAGAGTGTGAGGTGGTTTAGCTAATTAAGCATCGCTGAGTGCTTGGTCTTAGTTCCATCGCTCTAACTGCCCTGAAGGTTGTTGCTCTTGCTGTCAGCTGTGCTACATCAGGAAGATCTAGATACTGAGCTTGTACACACAAGGACCTTCCAGACTCACCTCACCTACCCTGAAGCTCCATACCACTACCTTTTGATTCTTGGACCTGGCAAACCAGACATTTAATACAGTCTAACCCTAGCATCCTCAGATGTAGAGGATTATGTCCCAGGCTCATGGACCACAAAAGGTGAGGTGGGCTTAATTTTTTTTTTCTTTCCAAAACAAGAATCTGGAAAACAGTATGAATATTCTCTAGAGTTCTGTTAGAGTTAACTGTTTTTTTTTTTGTTTTTTTTTTTTTTTTTTTTTTAGAGAGTTTTTTGCGATAGGGCATGTATGCTCGCCAGAGACACAGAAAGCAAGAAATCACCCCCGGGGTGGGGAGTGGCCACATCACAATCCCTTCTCCTCCCTTATCCTCTTGGGATCTTGGGCATGCACACATGCCTGGTGTAAGTTTGAAGCTGCTGGGTCTGGAACTCGAACTGAGGTCGACTATATGAGAGTCCAGCAACATAACCATTACACCATCTGCTGGTCCTGAGTTAACTGTTTCTAAGTGGTAAACAATACAAAGTAGACCCCCACCAGAACTTTTATTTTAGGGGCAGGAGAGCCCATGGAGTTATAGAATTGAAATTAACAGATTTTTTGTAGAGTCAGCCATGTACCAGGCACTGTAGAGGGAGTTGTGTATAATGCCTATAGCTAACATTTACGGAACTCTTAAGGTGTGCTGGGCATGTAATTATTACATATCATTCACACAACCCTAGAAGTTTATTATCGGCCCCATTTTATAGACAGGGAAATTGAGGCTTATAGAGGGTAAGCCTTTAAAATGGCACAAGGATTTGAACCTAGGCAGCCTGAGTCCAGGGCCTGATACATAACTGTCGCAGTACATTGCCTTCCCACACAGCAATGACCAAGACAAAGTTCAGACTCTCAAGGAGCTAACCCTATTGAGGGAAACAGGTGGGCACTAGGAATTGACATTCATTAAAAATGGTTGACTATAAACAAAAGGGCAATTAATGGCCACTAGGAAGACTTCAAACAAGTGGGATTGGAATTGAACCTCAAAAGAAATAAATAGAACTGCAGTGAGAGTAGTGATGAGGAAAGACCATCATACTCAGAAGCTGGTGTACCCTTGACAGGAGCAAAAAAAGTATGTGGTTAGTTAACTAATTCTCCTCTTTTCCCTCTTCCCCAGTGCACTCTGACATTCATGCTTCTCTAACCAGCCCTCTTCCTACTCCTCCCACCATTCACTCCCAGCTCTTTTGTCAACTCCCTTTCCTATTCCTACTTCCTAAGTCAACTTAAAAATTGGTGTTCTTTTTTTTTCTTAAAGAAGTATTTTATTTAATTTTATTGTCATTATTTTATTTTATTGAAGTTGACCAGAGAGAGACAGAAAGAGAGAGAAGGAAAGTGAGAAAGCAAGCAGCCGGATCTAGGACTCAAACCACAGTCAGCCATGAGGGAGTCCAGTGCCTTAACCACCACACCACCTGCTGGCCCCAAAGCTGGTATTCTTTAGCTTTCCATCCATAGCCCCCTAATCCTCTCTCTCCATGTGCTGTCCTTAGAAGACACACCATATGACCGTTTTCTCCTGTAAAAGATTAATGCTCCAGCCCTGACCTCTCCTAGTTTCAGCCTCATGCCTTCTGCTGCCCCCTGAGATTCTCTTCCTAAGTTTTCAGGGGACTCTCAGATTCAACACATGACTAAGTTAAGTAACTCTCCCCTCTTTTTTTTTTTTTAATCCCCCAATTCATTCTAGAAGCGTAATAGTCATTCTAGGCTTCATCTTTTGCCTCAACCACTCTAATGTATACCACCCTACTCGCCCCTCTAGTCATTTACCGGATTTCACAATGCTACATCTTGAATCTATTTCCCTCTTCTGGACATACACTATCATTTTCTATGTCAGGTCTTTATCATTCCTTATACTTCAACTGCAACTGTTTCCCAGTTGTTTTTGCCTCCAAGCTTACTGCCCATGTAAGATGAGTGTCATCAAAATTCCCTGCTTTACAGCCTTCAAGGGATCCTCATCACCCACAACAAATTCCTGGCTCCGAGTCTGCTATATAGGGTCCACCATGACCTGGTATGGCCTCTCAGCCTCGTCTCCGGGCACTCCCTCTTTCAAACATCAAGTTGTGATGATAATACAGAGCTTGCAGCTTTCCAATACACCATGCTGGTTCATGAACTTTATCTTATTTTATTCTGTTCCCTCTACCTACTGTGCCCTTTCCACTCATCTTCACTTGAATCACAGCAACTCACTTTCAAGACTCAGTCCAGCTATCATCCAGCTCAGGAAACCTCCCCCAAAGCCATGGCTGAGCAAGTGCTCCCATTGCATCCTGTGCTTATTGTCACATGACTTAGAAATGACACAAGGGAACTGTCTCTTTGGGAGTCTTTCTCTCATCAGGCTATAGCCTTCTCAGCATCTTAGCCGCCTTTGCCCAGTGCCTAGTATGACACCTAGCACAGAGCAGGTGCCCAGTTTATATTGTCACCCCCTCAGAACAGTAGGCACTCAACAAATGTTCCATGAGTACATGCTGCTGCCATTGACAGCCACTATGGGGAGAGAGATTTCTGATCACACAGCTCCTGGAGGTGCTAAGGAGGCCAGGCCCAGGAAAACTGCCCATCAGTGTTCCGTTCCTGAGCAGCATGCTTTTTGAGAGTGAGATTAGAAGGTATTCAGCTCTCATAATTATTTAAGAGAATAATCAACTGGGTATGCAGAGGACAACAGGCCCTCTCGTGAGCTCTCCTGTATCCCCACAGTCAGGATCACTGCAATGAGAGGTATCCGTATGAATTAAGGAAATCATGTCAGAGAGAGGTTTTTCAGGGCCAAGAGTGCACACCAGGTTCCCCCAGGTGGGCTCCACCTGCATCCCTGAGACAATCTTTTCAGATCCTGCTTCTTACTAAATTTGCTCATTGGCGTATTTCCTGGTGGCCCCTTTGCACAAAGGATCTGCCACTCTTGTGGTTTGTCACTGCTTTTGTAACTGCAGAGCATGAATAGCTAACAAGGCATGCTGGGGTCAACAAGGGGAGCCTGTAGATTCCAATGGGTCTCTAAAGGGTGGGGGATCGGAATTCTGAGCACCCACCTCCTGCTAATCCTCTAGCAGAACCAGTCGGGCTGGTTGTAATGTATTATTAGAAAGCCCACACACTCCTCTGTCTTTGGAACAACAGAGCCACTTGTTGCATGAGGAGGTTTCCCATCCATGGGACCTAAACTGGAGGAATGAGGTGGGGGGAACTGGGACAGGCAGCGGGAGAGCATGAAGTGTCAGAATTAGGTACAGTGGGTTTGAAGTTGTCCCTTACACACAGCCCTGTGGCCTAGAGCAAATGACTTAACTTCTCCAAGGTGATAATGAACCTTCACAGGCAGTGGTGGGGATTCAGGGAGATGTTACTGTAAGGCACCTAGTGCAGGGCAGGGGAAAGGTGCTCCTACAACGCCACCTCCTCTGACATAGGTGCTTCTCAAGGCACAAAAGTCTAGATGGAAGCCTTCCTCCCACCACCTGCCTTTTCTCCCTGTCCTTGCCAGACACAAGAAGGGGAATGAGGTACAGGCAGTCCCAGCTACCATTTAGAGCCCCTGATCCTCGCTACAGGGCTGATGATTTCAGCTGAGCGTGAGTGAGAGAGCTGATGTTTTGCTTCAAGAAAAAAGAATTTTCTAGGCTACCCCTGGAATGTAATGTTGTTTCCTCAACCTCGTCACAAACTGTCGCCGTTAGTCTAAGGTGTCTTCCTGTTGCTTCTTCCCTTCAGGCCTCCCTTCTTTTCTTAAGAATTAGAATGGGGAGACTGGTCCTTCAAACAATCCCTAGAACTAACACATAACAGTCTTCCTAGACATGGTCGTGAGTTGTGGTAGATGGAATCACTAACCATTTCAAGAAAGCCCTTCATTTCCACTGCTTTCTTCTCAGGAAGGTGAATGATGTCTCAAGGGAAAAAGAGGCTACTAGAACATAGCTAAATGAGAGAGGCAAAAAGTAGGGGAGGGGACCTGCTTTTTCCTTCATCTCTGGGGAGTTAGACAGCAGCAGAATTAGCAGCAAAGGTCTCCTTTCTCAGGAGCACCCAGGAAAACTAGAAACCCCATCCCTGAGCTATTGGTGTGAACTGCTCAGCAGTACCAAGAAATCACACCACAGAGAGGACCCATGGCATGTTCACCTCCTTCATCCTGGGGGCCTATGAGGGTACTCCTGCAGCCCACCCACCATCGGTCATTGATTCCTTTCCATTCAACCCAACAGCCCCTGGTTGCCCTGCTTCATACCCCCATAGTTCTCAGGACTTGACATCTCAGTAGAGCTGGCAGCCTGGCACACACTCTCCTCAGTTCAGAGCTGCCCCAGCAGGTCCCATCTCTCATGGCAGGCACCCACCAAAAACCTCCCTAACCCTGCACAAATGCCCAAGGGGCTAGGGTGTGACATAAAATTGAATCCAGTAAGGCTCTTCTCTAGTCAAGTTCCCATGGTCTAGAGCTGGATCAGATAAAGGTACAGCCCTGCTGTCCTCGGCACCTCCAAAGACCTCACCCCTGTCACCCTCACCTGTAAGGATAGAGAGAAGATACACTACCTCCAGAAGATGACCTGCCCCAGGGAGGCCATGGCGAGGAGAAGGGTTCCTTCCCACGGTGTGGCCTTGTGCTGAGGTAAAGGGGAGCAGCCACAGCCCTCCTGGGAGCGGTGACTCACAGCCGGCTCTTGTGTGCTGCCTTAAATAGTGCGCTCTGGCCGGGAGTGGTGCAAGCAGCTGTGGACGGCCCAGGTATGAGGAAACAACTCTGCTGTGCAGAATTCCCTGCAGGCACGGGTGGCTGCCTCCCCCTGGCCAGGCAATGATGCCAAGGGCTTAGAGCTGCCTTTCCAAGCACTGACCTCTTCAGAGGATGGGAAGGAAAAGCTCCCTAGGCCCTTGCTTCAGGTTTTGTATGCAGCACCTGTCTTCCTCCTGACTGGAAAGGAGCTCTTGGAATGGCAATTTTTTTCTTCTTTTCTTCTTCTTTTTCTTCTTCTTCTCCTGCCTGCTCCTTATTTTCTTTCTTTAAAACATTTGATCACTATATATCATTTGGCTGATAAAGAGAATTTACCCAACATGAAATACACCTCAGACCAGTCCAGTTGAGAACACTATACACATTATCATCAACAGGCAATAAACCATTTCTGTGTCCCACAAATGTCTTGCCTCTCTATTTTTCTCCCTGATTTCCTTCCCTGTAGTCTTCCCTTCTCCCACCCTTTCTACACACTGTCTCCAGTGTTCATAACTATTTTCACTGCTTTTATGTCCTCCAATCTTTTCATCTCTACCATAAAGTGTGGACAATTGGTATGTATTAAGTGAAGACATACAATATTTCTCTTTCATAGCCTGGCTTGTTTCACTCAGTAATAAATCTTCCATATTCAACCACTTTCTATCAAATGCCAGGGTCTTGTTTTTGTTTGTTTGTTTTTATAGCCAAATAGTATTCCATAGAGTATATGTGCCACACTTTCAATCTATTCATCTGTTCGTGGACATGTGGGTTGTTCCCATGTCTTAGCAATTGTGAATAATGCCACAATAAACATTGATGTGCAAGCGCTTTTCTGACTAGCATTCTCCTGTCCTTTGTGTAGATACCCAGGTTTGGGATTGCTGCATCATATGGTAGTTCTATTTGTAGGTCTTTGAGGAACCTCCATATTGTTTTCCTCAGTGGCTGGACCAATTTACATTCTCACCAACAGTGTAGGAAAGTTTCCCTTCCACTACAACACCACCAAGATTTATCATTTTTTTGTATTTTTTAAGCTTTGCCATTTTGACTGGGGTTGGGTGGTTTCTCGTGGTTTTAATCTACATCTCCCTTATGATGAGGGATGTTGAGCATTTCCTCATATGCATTTTGGTTGTATGTATGTCTTCCTTGGAGAGTTTTTTATTTAACTCATTTTCCCATCTTTTAATGGGTTAATCATTTTTAGGGGCCTAAGCCTTTCGTGTTCTCTGTATATTGTGGTTATCAGTTCCTTATCTGAGGCATAGTTTACAAAAATATTCCCCCATTCTGAGAGTTGTCGATTCACATAATTACTGTATCCTTGGCAGTGCAGAAACTTCTTCATTCAGAATCTGCTGGAGTTAATGACTTATTCTTCTTTCATTTTCACTTCTTGTGCTTCTTAGACTTCTCTCCAAACTCTGCCTTAGAGCTTTTCTCTTCTGTGTCAGCCTTGTGTTTCTGTTTCTGTTTGCTGGATTTTTTATGCTTCTTTTTCTTTTTGTGTCAGTGAGACTTTCCAGATCATTCTTTCTTGCTAGGAAGGCTTCTTCCTGTGTGTCTCTGACCCATAGCTGCCCCCTGGCTTCTGCTTGTTCAGGCTGCTACAGGCAGACCCTGAAGCAGGGGCGTCCACTTTTCCTCCTAAATGAATCTATTACATTTTCCCCCTCTTCTTTGATATTATTTAGCCCACTAGAGTCAAGGCCTTGTAGACTATCCTTTGAAATGCTTCCTACATCCTTTGGTTTTTCTGTTCCTTTAGCTCTGTTATCTTTGTTCCTTGAAAGTTTAAAGTCAAAGTATAAAGGGTTACGACTGTATGAAATGGAGGGTTCTGCCTTGGCGAAAATGAGTAGTACTGATGGCCACTGGAGGGCAGTGCTTTCATCTTTGCTCAAAACTGGAAAGAAAGGACTAGTAGGATGTTTGGGTCCCTCCTGGCTTTCTTTTTCTGCTGGGGTGGCCTGAGAGTTTTCTTTAGAAGGGTTAGACACACACATTTGCATCTCTGAAGTCTTCTGACTGGGACTCTCTGAACCCTACTCATTTACACCCTCTCCTGAGGACTTTTTTTGTCTCAGCCTTGCTTCCAACTCTGAGGGCGCAACCACACTGGCTTCCTTCTGCTCAGAGACTTCACTGTCTTTTCTGCTCCTCATCTTGCCATTGCCTTGACACAGCGTTTTGATTTGGGAGAGCTGCTTGTTTTGCTTTCTGGGGCATTCTTCAGGGGTGTGCTATTATCACCTTCCATGTGCTCACTGGTTTTCATAGAGTAGAAAGGGAAAATTAGAAAATTGGTGGGGGTGTGATGTAGCGGTAATAACCTGGCTCTGTAGCCCCAGCTCCTTCGCACTTCATCCTTTTTAACTTGGATAATGTTGAAGCAAAGACCGTCCATCCTGAGGGTTTTCATCCTCTTTTTACCATCAAGATTACCATCAGAGGTAAAGTCTTTTTACAAGCAAAATGAGAAATAGTGATTGACTGTTTAAAAAAAAATTAGAATAATAATAATAATGATTGGGAAAAACAGAAAACATATTTATTGAATGATGAAGTGGGGAGATAATTGTCTCTGTATTGACTGACATGCATGGCATTCCCTTTTCACAAAGCAATGTAATACACTGTAAAGTTATATGTAATCCAATGTAACATAAAGAAGATTATGATGATAAAAAAAAAAAAAGATTACCATCAGAGTCTCCAATCTTTTGCAGTCCTTGGTCAGATCCCTTCTCATCAGGTTTTGTTCCATCTTTGGGATTCCCTTCCTCTGAATAGTCCTTGAAAACTGATGCATTGATTCAAGTTTGACAGGAACCTTCTTAACAAAAAAAAAAAAAAAGGGCACTTCCAATTTTTTTTTTTTTGGAGGTTTTCGCTATAAGGGCCTTCCTCTGAATAGTCCTTGAAAACTGATGCATTGATTCAAGTTTGACAGGAACCTTCTTAACAAAAAAAAAAAAAAAAAAGGGCACTTCCAATTTTTTTTTTTTGAGAGGTTTTCGCTATAGGGCGCGTGAGCTCGCCAGACAGACAGAGAGAGACATAGAGACAGAAAGCAAGAAATCACCCCTGACACTTCCAATTTTTGTAATGGTGTCCCCAGATTATTCTTAATGCTAAACTAATGTCTTGGGAGGGTAATCCAGGAGCCTGTGCCAGTCTGGTGGTACTGGTGATCTGTACTGTGGTAAAAGGACCTCCTTTATCTGCGGAGAAATCAGATCCCAGGCCACAAGTGGCAGAGGCACCTGAGCCACTGTTTCTAGCTGATTCATCCTTATCATCATCTCCACCTTCTTCATCTACAGCCACTGCAGTTGGTCTGGACATGGGACCATTTCCAGGTGCACATTCAACTTGTTTTCTTTGCTCTGTCAACTTATGTAGCTGCCTAAGGGCTTTTTCTTGTTTCTTCTCATCCTTGTGGGATCTTGAAGAGACGTTTCAAGCAAACTCTCTCTGCTTGAGATCTTTTAATCTCTGCTTGTATGCATGTCAAATTCCTGATGTTTCTGATACTGCTTATCACAGAGTTCACAGTAAAAATTGCCTCTAAAGACTTCCAAGGTTTTGACAATTGGTTTCTCTTTGTCAACACAATCCTTGTACTTTTGTCTCAGTTCTGTGTCTTCTTTTTCCACTTCTAGGACACGGTGCCATTCGGCAGCATCTTCAGCATAATCAAGCTCCATTTCCACATGACCATGCCCACGACATCATACTTCACAATATTGGAATGGGATCTGTTCCCCCAGGAGAGATTTTCCCAATCCCTTGCCCAGCCTCCACCCATGTTTCTGGAATAAGTGGTGTCCAATATTCTCCGATTCTATGGGCTTGTCAAGTGATGTTTGTTCTATTCCAAATGTCCTTCTTCATACTGATCAAAGTGATTACCCTGAAAGTCTCGGTCCTCGTTGAAGTGGGAGAAGCGATCTACCATTTTGCTGCCTTCACTCCTTCTAGGAATGGAAATTTAATCACAAAATAAGAAAGGACTGGAACAACTCCATGTCAGGCGTGTGTCAGGAAGTGGATAGTATATGTATGTGTGTGTGTGTGCTGGGGGGATACTGAGAATTTCCATCTTTGATGGTAGTCGACACTCAGACAGAGACTGAGTGTTTTTCCACAGGGTCATTGGTGGGGCTTCTTATGCTGGGGCTCAGAAAGAGCTTAAGGGACAGGAGACTTGAGTTTGTGGCTCAAGATTGCCCAGTTAAGTGGGCTAATCTCTTTTGGTTACATTTTAGTAAGAGGGTCTGTCAGTCTTACTTCCCACTTTTTTGCATTACATGGAGGCGATATCGTCGAAGAAGAAATGGTGAGTGAAACAATCTCTGCCATCTCAGCCAGCATTCAGATTTTCACCTAGGTAGGACACTTTGTAAGGCATAAAACCTGCCCTCTTCACAATGTTTCCTCTATCCAAGGAGTAGTTTGGGTGGCGAACATTCATGACTGGCCAGCAGGTCTGCTGGCTACTGCTATTTTTATAGTAAAGGTGTTCCAGGCCTTCGGCAGATTCATTCCAGTGTGGGTATCTGGCTTTTGGAGTAAGTATGGAGTAGAGTTGGAGAAGGAAGACAGAACTGAGTGGTAGAGAGACGACTGCAGAGGAGAAGGAAATGTCATAGTGGAAAAATGTTAGAGTCAAACAGAGCCAGGTCCAAATCCTAGGACTCTAATTACGTGGCCTTGAGAAAGTCACTTTTCTTTTCTTCAAGGCATCTCTTACTGGGTTGGAGTGAGGAGTAAATGAGAAGGGGCCATGTACTTTTCTTTTCCCAGAATAAGCAAAGAAGTGACTCTTTGGAACCTATGAAGTGCCCTTGCAGACTGGTCTTTCCCCCAGGTGAGGGAAACTGAGGGCCATAGGATCAGTGGTTTCCATAATTCTTGCGCATTCTGACCAGCACAGGGATTCTGCCCAACCCATCAATGAGTGTTAATAAGAGCAACCCCA